CTTTGTTTGCATTGAGGTTGACGAGGAGCGTTAGTACACCTGTCTTACTGATGATAATGTCATTCATTTGTGGGCATTGACAATACTTTCTTTGGTCCATGAGTCTCAGTCTTTGTATGCATTGATCTTTAAGTGTTAGTGGTATAATTGGTGAGAAAACTGACTGAAATTGCTTGTTAAGAATGTTTGCTTTTTCAGTGTTATTACTTTTGAGAGAACCTGAATCTTGGTCTTTGAATAGAAACACTCTTCGTGAATCTTGTTAAAGGTTTTTATCAGTGTGTATAGTTTTTTGGTACAGACTTTAGGAGGGCAGACATAAAAGATATTTCTGTGGATATGATGTCATGATCTGATATGCCAGGTATGACATTGACGTTGTGAACAAGAGTGTGGTTTGAAATGAGAAATAAATCAAGAATATTGTCATTTCGTGTACTTTCATTAACCATTTGTACAAGGTTATGATCCTCAATGATGCTCAGGAATTCATCATACACATGACTTGTGTTTAAGCCTTCTTTAAGGTATGGTATATGTTCACAGACCCAATTTAATTTTGGGAGGTTAAAATAGCAAAGGAGTAACGTGCAAGTTCAAGGGACTTTTCAAATTCTAAAATGCTATTCATATCAAGTTCTTGTGGTTTGTTTGTTTCATTCTATGCCTTTTCCAAAAAGTATTTCAGTCATATAGGCGGGTAGTTTCCTAACCATCAGTCCTGGAGAGTAACATCAGTACTAGACTACCTTCCTCCGTGCTAAACTACCAAAGCATATTCCGGGGATCGAACCCACGCAAGAGAGGTAATTGGATTAGAAGTCACCGACCATAACCCCTCGACCACGGAGGCGGTAATAAGATGCCAGAAACACTGACTTACTACCTTTTATTTCTATTTTTATCCAAATTATTTCACAGTCGGTGTTAAGTTATGGTTGTTCACTTGGTAGGAGGTTGTTTTTAACAAGGATAAACACTTCACCGCCCTTACCTTTGGGTCTGTCACGGCAAAAAACTATGTAGCCAAGATTTCATTGTTATAATGTTCTTTATTTAGTCATGGCTCTGTGGCTGTGACTATATCTGGGTTTTGATCTATTAATAAATTTAGTAATCCCTGTTTTTGTTGACTATTGACTGGCAGTTTATGCATAAAATTTTCAGTTTGGATACATAATCAATTTTGAGTGTTCGATCATAAATAACACCCTTTGGGATTTTTCAGAAACACAGTGTTTCCCAACTACCCACAGGTATACTTGTAAGAAACCCAGATAATCCTCGCAGGTATCAGTGCTATACACTGGACATGTAAAGAAGCAATGGATTTATTAAAAAAAGAGCTAGGGAGCTTGCAACTTTGTAGGTTATCCTTGATCGCCCGGTCTTAAGAAAATCAATCAACTCATACTTGGCCACAACAACCCTTAGGACTAGACCTTCAAGTAGACCAGACTATCTTTGACCTTTATTCATGACGACCCTGACCTTCAAGGTCAACTATCTAAATTTTGCTTGTTTTTTGCTGAGCTTTGCTAAAAGTGGCTAAAACTTATTGCCCTTTGTTATTTTTCAAACTTAATTTTTGTCCAGAGCATAACTCAAAAAGCCTTTCAGATATCAAAATGGAACTTCATAGGTGGATAGAGCTTACTCAGAAGGTGTGCAGTGCACAATAATAAAAACTCTACCTTTCATAATGTTTTAGTCATTGACCTTTGTTATTTTTCTTACGTATTTTTTCACCTGACTGGAGCGTAACTCAAAAGTCTTTGAGATGTCAACATTAAACTTCATAAGTGGACAGATCTTATTGGGGAGGAATGCTATGCGGAAGAATGATTATTCGACCCTTAATAATTTTAGTTTAGTTATTGCCCTTTAATATTATTCATACCTTTTGCTCGGAGCTTATCTCAAAAAGTATTAGAGGTATCAACTTGAAACTTCATAGGTGGATAGATCTCATTGAGGAAGAGAGCAGCACACAAGAAAAATAACCTATCCTGCATTATTTTTCAGTTATTTCCATACTAAATATTTGTCCAGAGTATAACAGATATCAACATGAAATTTCATAGGTGGATAGATCTCACTCAGGAGGCGTGCAGTGCACAAGAATGATCACTATACCCTTCATGGTTTATTGAGTTATTGTCCTTTTTTAATTTCATACTTATTTTTTTTCCTGAGTGGAGCATATCCCAAATATCTTTGAGGTGTTAACATGAAACTTCATAGGTGGATTTATCTTATTGAGGAGGAATGCCGGAATGCTATGCGCAAGAATGATAACTCTACCCTTTATATTTTTTAAGTTATTGCCCTTTGTTATTTTTCATACTTTTTGTCAAAAAGAGTAAGAGGCATCAACTTGAAACTTCATAGGTGGATCGATCCAATTTGTTATTTTCAGCTATCAGTATTCACATAGGTTTCAAATCTGTAATCACTTCAGCCATCAGTTTTCAATACCAAAAGACCTCTTAAAATTGAGCGGGGGATTTCATGTTAAATTGGCTCTTGTTATTTTTTAATGAATTGTATTCAAACTTGAACATAATTATCTTTTAAGATAGACCTACAAAATGATCAGAAGACATTGACCTTCACTTATAAATGACCTTGACTTTGAAGGTCAAATTAATGAAATTTTCATTTTCATGCTGTAACTGGCTCTTACTTTGTTATTATTGAATGAATTGACATCATATTGTAACAGAACATTGTTCATGATAAGACATTCATGTATTTAATTCCAATTAATCTTGACTTATTCATAACCTTGACATTGAAGGTTCAATTATTGAAATCTTTACTGATTTTTGCCTTAATTGACTGTTACTTGGTAATTATTAAATGGATACTCTTCATATTTGAACAAATCAACCATTTGTACAAGATCTTCTAAAAGGTTGACCTGACCTCGACCTTGAGCTATAAATCACCTTGATTGTCAATGTCAAATTATTAAATTTTGGTTAAATTATCCTAACTTGTTATTTATGTACTGATTTTATTTAAACAAAACTTGCTACCAAACAAACATATTGGTGATCTTGACCTTGAATTGACTGTAAATGTCAAATTAATAAAATTTTCTTTATTTCTGTAACTGACTAAAACTTTGTAGATTTAATATATATTAATGATTTAACTTCATATTAGGACACAACATCTTTTATTTAGGTCAGGACGTTCATGTTTATCAAACTCAAATTGACCTTGAATCATCCCCTGATTATTGCTATATTGGCTGCAACTTTGTAAAAAAACCCATAGATTGCTTTCATACTTGATCAAAACTAACTTTTGGACAAGGCATTCTAAAAGTACAACCATAAATTAATACAATTGTATTTTGGACCTGTAGAAAACTACAGTTACATGAGTTAATTGACATATTTCGTTCAAAGTACAGGTGTAAAGACGCATGTATTTAAAAACAAAAACACCTGTAATTTTTAAAAGAAAACAAGAAATTTAGAAAGACACATATGCTCCCCTTTCTAGCCCTTGACTCACATTATTGGTAATTTTGTTATAGAAACTTGCCATAAATGGGTACATGGAAGTGCTCAATTTTGGAAAAAAGAAAAATAATGAAGGCTTTTGATAAATAGTTTTCAAGATATTGAGCGGAAACCATACAGACATTAAAGGCCCCTGTTACCTTGACATTTGAACTAGTGACTCCAAATCAATAGGGGTCATCTAATAGTTATGACCAATCAATATTTGAAATATGAAGACTTGTGATAAGATAATAAGCGGAAACCATACTATCATTCAATAATCCTATGACCTTGACCTTTGAGATAGTGACGCCTAAATAAATAGAGGTCATTTACTAGTTATGAATAATCAGTATGTGAAATATGACGATTTTGTGATAAATAGTTTTAAAGATAATAAGCGGAAATCATTTAATGCCCCTGTGATCATGACCTTTGAACTCATGACCCCAAAAGCAATACAGGTCATCTGCTGGTTATGACCAATCACTATGTGAAATATGAAGACTTTGTGATAATTATCTTTCAAGATAATGAGCTGAAATAATACTATCATTCAAGGGCCCTGTGACATTGACCTTTGACCTGGTGACCCCAAAATCAATAGGGGTCAACTACTATTGATGATAAATTAATATGTGAAATAAGAAAACTTTGTGATGAATTGTAACCAAGATAATGGGCGGACACCATTCTGTTATTTAAGGTCCCTGTGATGTGACCTTTGACCTAGTGACCCCTAAATCAATAGGGTTATCTACTAGTTATGACCAATTAGTATGTGAAATATAATGACTTTGTGATGAATTCTTTTTCAAAAAAGTCAGCGGAAACCGTTCTGACACGAAAGGCCCCCGTGACTTTAACTTTTGACCTAGCGATTCCAGAATCACTAGTGATCATCTACTATTAATGGCAAATCACTATGTGAAATATGGATACTTTAGAATGAATACTTTTAAGATAATCAGCGGAAACCGTTCTGACTTTATGGCTCCTGTGACCTTGACTTTTGACCTAGTGACCAGAACATCAATAGGTGTCATCTACTAGTTATGCCCAATCACAATGTGAAATATGAAGACATTGTGATGAATACTTTTCAAGATAATCAGCTGAAACCATTCTGACATTTAAGGCCCCTGTGACATTGACCTTTGACCTAGTGACCCTAAAATCAATAGGGGTCATCTACTAGTTATGACCAATCTCTATGTGAAATATGAAGACTTGTGATAACTAGTTTTCAAGATAATTAGCGGTAATCATGTGGTCTACTGAAGGACAAGCCGACAGACAAACCGACATTAGCAAAGTAATATACCCCCTCTTTTTCGAAGGCGGAGGGGGGGGGGGCATAAAAATATATGGAAAATGTACTTGAGTAAATCTCGTACGGTTTCGCGGTTGTAAAAATTAAGGATGCATATTTGTAACGATATTTACTGTAAGATATCCTATAATTTTGAAATTATATTTCAGTTAACATTACAAGCATAAGCTGTACTAAAGATGGCAAGGAATGCGACCATATTAACAATGCTCGGTGTAATAATCAGTTTGGAAAATGCGAATGTTTAAGCGGCTACATTATGGATGCTGCCAAATGCAATGCAGGTAGATTCATATAAATTAATAAAGATTGTTGCAAGCATTTTTTGAAATGATGTTTATAATTTGTTTCTTTTAAGCACTGTTTTCTTTCACCAGACATCATCTTTGAGTTATCTAAATGTTTTGCAGATATTTAAACCTTGCTTTATATTTTGATAGTAACCGCTGCAAAGAAGCATCCGACGGCTCTTCCTGCACTTGGTAAGTGTTACCACTAACTGATTTATATGATTTTAAAATCATGAAAATAACCAATCAGGAGACACAGAAACGCGACAGTTTTTTCTTAAACGAGAACGTCCCTGCCCTCGATATTAAGCCAAACACACATAACAAAGAAAACATTATAATGACTATTTAAAAAATGTCTAAGAACCTGCAACAAGTGCGTTCGACATGGAACTCAAGGGCATACAATGCCTTTGAATACTTATGGACTTTAAATTTAGACGATTTCAGAGCAACAACTTTTACTTATGTGGTTTTAATAAATTTAAATGACACAGGGTATTTCAAAAGAAGGTTTCGAATATGGGGAGTTCGTATACTGTATTTATGTTCACATACTTTATTTCTGTAGGCAACTAGAAAATATTTAACTGTTTCCGGAACAAGGTATATGTCGTGTTTAAGTATTCTAGGGCATTCAATTAATATTATATATTCCAAAAGAAGTGATTCAAGATTTCTCCAGTAATCCAATGAATTAAATAGGCAATCATAAGAATGAATAGATAAAGAAAATCTTAAAGGAAAGACTAATTTGAAAATATAACTCTGATTAACATGACCACTGAAAAAAATTGCAGACTCGGTTTTAATAAACCTAGCAGTAACAAATGCAGGCTTCTATACACTTTCCACTAGCATGGGCTTGATGAGAAATCAACATTTTACAGGACAATGCTGAATTTAATTTTTAAAACATCAACAAATGTGTTCATTCAGCCTGGATTAATCATGGAATCAGTTTTGCACTGTTGTTCCATGAAAAAAAGTGTCCTTTTTTATTGTCCTTTAATTTTTAAAGAGTTATCAAAAAAAAAACCGACAAAAAAGGGTAAGAACATGTCTTTAACGAAACCAAAGTTTCCTCTAATTTCTTAAAAAAAAAATTTTTAGTTACAATTGAAAACCACAGTTCTAAAAAGGGTAAGTAATTTTGTCGCTTAAAAATTGAATATACCAGCAAGCACTGTTACACCAACTTAATTTTGGATTCATACTTTACATGTCCCCAAAATGCAAGGTCTCCCTTGAGTGATTAAAAAAATGCCTTTAGAATAAACTGGAGGTGAAATTTACTGAAAGGAGTTTAGGAAAAACCCTTTTGTGTTTGGATGTGATAGAAAAAAAAGTATGCTGCTCGATGTAAAATACATACACAAAGAAAAGATATTTTACATGTGCGGTATATTGTACTTTTTGAAAAATATATATTTTATTTAAATAATTATTTATATATTTTATATTATTTTAAATTATTTAATATTAAAAAAAAATAAATATTAAATATTATAAAAATTAATTTATAATTATTTGTGGGGAGGGTTGCTTGATAATTGGGTTTTGTGGTTTCTTATTTAATTTAAATTAAACACAAAAACACAAAATTATTAAATTAAAACATCACTAATTCGCGTCATACTTTTTTCACGGGATGGCATTTTTTAGCCAGTTTATAATTGGGGAATGAAATTTTATTCAAACACCTGAACAAGTGTTGTGCAAAAAATTTTTTCAAATTTTTTAAAAAAGAAAACTTTTTAAAAATTTTGCAAAAAAAAAAATTTTCCTTAATTTTTGGGATACTCTGAAAAATCATATTTTTTAAATGTTTTTTTTCGTTGAAAAAAAAAATTTGAGGTTTAAGTAAAAATACTTTTTAAAATTTTTAAAAATTTTTCAAAATAACATGTAGAAATTTGACTGAAACATGAAAAAATTTTTTTTTAAACACCTTATGCGATTTTAAAAGATGACATACTGTTTTTAAAATGAACAGACATATGGGTCTACGTATGGCTCATTTAAAACTGATTTTGACTAAATATATATTGTTGTTTTCTTGTGTTATACACAGCAGAAAATACATTTATATGGCTTAATGACAATTTTTGTTACCCCTAAGTTTCATTTGTTGTTTTCTTTCTTTCTTGCTTCAAAATATTAAAAAGGGTGCCGTGAACTAAGAGGACACAGTTATACTTGCTAAGAATTTAAAAATTATTGAGGGAAAGTACATATTGATAAATTTTAATCCTTTCCCCATCGACTTATCCGTAATATCATGAAGGAACGAAATACTGAGGGTACGCCTTTAAAATTTTCATGTTAAGCTGGAAAAATTGCCATAAATAAATATATGAATAGATTTTTTATAAATTTAAATGAAGAAACAAAGAAACAGATTTTCGGTATTGGGTAATTAATTTTTGCATTTTCTAGCTCGACGTATTGTTACAGCCAATCGGCATTGACTTTTTGCGGTCTGCAAACTTGTACTTTGACCATAACTGTTTTTAAGTTTCTTGTGGGTATTGCTTCATCCTTGGTTACTGAAACCCTTGGGACAGTAAACCTTTCAGAAGACCAACAGACTATAACCTTGACCTTCCATCCAAAAATTACCTTAGTCCGTCAATATCTCAAATGTCTATTTTTATTGTTTTCTTTGTTATTTTTGGCCTATAACTTTGTAATTTTAGAGTGGATTGTCTTCACACTTAAACAGAACATTCTTCAGGATAAGACCTTCATGTATATCAAACTTAAATTGACCTCGGCTCTTTTATGACCTTGACAATTTCTTTTTCTTCTGAAATATCTATGCACATAATTATATTAAAGAAAAAAATATATAGGCAAGTTGCATGTTATTGTTATGAAATCTATTAATAGTAAAAAATTGTTGATAAGATATACAGGTAACTTTCGGGTGGTTGGCAAAAAATATGGTGGCTAATAAAATGCAAAATATAGTAATTTTATATTTACAATAACAAACTTGTTTTTTATGAAACAGCTTAGTATTTTATATCATTAGAAAGGTCATTTTACTCATATTTTAAAAATTAAAAAATAAATTTACAAAACACTTTCATTTTTTCTTGGTAAAGAGTTAAACTTGATGCTAGAAAACTATTGAAATAACAGTTAAAAAATAGCTGAGCATTCTTTTTTAAAAGCAAAAAATGAAAATCCGCTTACATTTCAAAAACATGAATGTAAAAAACTTTCAAATGATATAAGAATTTAAAAATTCTAGTGCATATAAATATTGGTTCTTCTTGCCAACCGGCAAATCTGCTAAATTCTGGTAGCAGGTGCTTGTGATGTCATCAGTCAACTTGCCTATATGGATTTTTAAGACGCGGTCCGTTGCTATGAAGAATCGGCCGGAAGTAGAATTTTTCTCGCGCATGCGCAATCTGCGTAGGGAAACAAACTGCATCGCCCTACATAGAAATAAAGTTCATAGACAATCCGAGTTAGTTCAAGGTAACGTTAGAAAATTATATAAAATAGCTTTAAACAAATAAAGAAAAGATGACTTTATAGCTTTGTGGCACTGAGATCATTTTTTAAAGAGATGTGGAAATATATTCATTAGCAAATGAAAAGTCAACTTATTTGCTGTTGAAATAGTTCATATAAAAATAGATATGAGAAATAGATTTGAAATGTAATTAGGAGGTAAAATTCGTATCTTTGCTCACGTGATAAATGAGCTCGGATCAGTCCAATTTAATGTTTTTGTGAATATATTTCATTAAAAGAAAAAGTTGAATCGCGTGAAATGTGATAACGATGATTATGTTTATGTTGTAAATGTTCAATCAACAATAGAATCTCAGATGACAGCGCATTTTAAGAATAAATGCACATGTCAGTGTACCGAATATTGCGTTGGAGTTGCTTGCCGGTATTTATTGCTTTTTAGTGTAACGAGTATTGGTCATTAATAGCGAGTAAATGCGAAGAGTAAACACAGAGTATTTACCACATTCAATCTTAGATATTTCTTATTGTGTATACGTATTGACACTATATGTTCAGAATATGCAGAGTTCGGAGGTACTTACTGGAAACTTCTGCGAATAATCAGGGTAGTGAGATTTCATTCCTGCTCATAAATTAAACTCAGTAAAACAAAGTTATCATTGCTATCAAAGGATAAACCTTTACAGAATTTATTAATAATTATTATAAATCATATATAAAAAATGGTAACAAAATTGCATTGCATTTAAAGTGCATTATGCTGCCCCAGAATTGTCAATATTAGGCGGTGTTGCCTGTAGTGTGCCAAAGTCTCATATCATACCACTTATAAGATTATGATATTAAAGGGAAGCAAATGCAATAAAAAAGGTTATGTTCCTTAAGACGATATCGACATACTTGGACGGCAAATATATTTTACTAAGTGTATCGATATGTTTCTTAAGACACATTTACCCTGTAAAAACGTATAATTAATGTCATGTAAATATGTGTTTTTCTTCTTTTTAGAGATGGATCTCCTGGATCACAGTTTCTTGAGACATGTGTATAAAGATTTTTATCGTCAATGATGACGGTTCTTCCCTGCTCCCAACCCTGCTGCCGACTATAAGCACACATTTTATGCCATCCGCATTAACATGCTTAAACTTTTTTTCATCCATACTGTGTGATTTTCAATCGAACGGGAAATTAAATCTCTGTATGTGTCCGTAGAAAAAGAATAGTAATAACAATCTGAATTATCATAATCAGTATAACACCAACAAAATAAAATGGCATCGATAAACAGACGTAATTTCGATTTTCTATTCTAATTTGCTCATTCTGTTTTACAATACACTACACTAATGTTGGGCTATTTTACATAACTCTGTACAAGCATACTTGGATTATGATTTTAAAAAATGTTCGATTCATTTTTTTATCTTGGTAATATTAAAATTTCTAACGATTCTACAGAATCGCGGTCAGTATTTTCTAGTGAGCAGCCGATCGTTTAGGTGGTAGTTTAATCAATTTTACAAATACCTGTAATACTCTGATGTCTTTTAGAGCTACAAAAATACCTCTACATATATAAAACCCGTTGAGATAAATGAAAAAGGCATTCGGTTGGAAAATATCGTCGCTGAACTTACCTTCGTCCCCCGTTTAATGTCGCGAAATGAGATGAAAGTCCTCACAACATCGAGCAATATCCGGGGTACGGTATACCGCAGTGCATGTGGTAATATCAGACGAATGCTGTAATGACATGTACGCATGTACAAAACTTTATAGAAATTAACCTTCAATTTCCTTGCGCATTACTCGTTGCGTTTAATTTTAAACGCTGAAATATAGATGTCATATAGTTGATATTCATTGTAACAATATTATTCTAATCAAATCTATCACATAAATCTGTTTCAAACTTTGCAGAAACTAAAAAAGTCGGCCTAGATTTTGCAATTGAAGTGGGCAATGATTTAACAAAATTTGATGTGGATCTTACAGATCCTAATTCACCAAAATACAAGGAATTCAAACATTCTTTTGAGACAAAGGTAAGCGTTTCAAAATGTTTTACAAACTCCTACATTTTGTTTTCAAAGAAAATCATGCTTCTGGATTAATTAATTTTCATTGTGACATGTATAAGGTCTTATCGATGAAGCGATTCAACTTCAAGCCTTTCTGTAAAAATATTATATAATCACTGTTCATCTTAACGTAAGATAACAAAAGAAATATTTCCTGTAAAAATTGAAAAGCAGCTTAACATCGAATCCCTTCTTAATTAGTTTGGCAGTAAGATATTGTTTCATTCATGTTGGAGTACCCACTTTAGCTTGTCGTCAATAATTTCTTTAAACATAATCTTCGCTGAACCTGATTATGGATGAAGAACTTCACAAAATGATTCAAGGGTGATCTATCAAAGCTCTTCAGAAACTAAGTGCATCAGTAGGTCACAAGGTCAAAAAGGGGTTTTTAAATATGGAAATTACAAAACGTATTTGCATTGGACAGAACCAAGTAATGTTGTTTGATCATCATTAAAAGATCCCCTTTAAAATTGTTTTAATTTTGATCCGAACTTTGGGCAATAGTTATTAGCTCGACTATTCGATAAGAATAAGTAGCGTTTTACTAGTCATCCGAGCGCCGGCGACGGTGTAACCACTTATGTTAAAGGTTTTGTACAACCTCAAATACTTTCAAAGTCCATTGACATATGGCTTTGAAACTTCGCACACTTGATCACAATCACGCGCCAAACCTGTAGACAGGAGGAGGTAACTCTATCAAGCATTTGTTACAATTAAAAAAAATATATGTCATTTTGTGAACTAAGAAAATTTTACATTATCAAGGCTCTTTCACTATCAAGCACATAGACGAGAGGAGCGTGCTGTCTTACTGACAGCTCTTGTATGCTTGAGTGAAAAAATCTTTATATAATATTATTACTTTTTAAACCCAAATGGCTAGAGCTTGAAATATTGTATGATAGACATCTACCTAAAATGATCAAATTATAATCTTTTAGTCAACATTGACCCCGCCAAAGGAATCATGAGTGTCCCGTAAGTATATAAAGTAATTACACCTTTTCTCACTCATTGAAATCACATTAGCTTGAGGTATGATATTTGACATAACGTATCGTCCTATAAATCTTCACGAGAATTGTTCCTAAAAATGTGAATAAGCACTGACCTTTGATCAAGTTTTTGAGCGTTCAATTTATTTAAATTTATCATTATTTTCTTATATTTTTTTTCTTGCAAAGCATTAAAAACTATCATTTTCATATACACATTAGATTAGAGTTTAGATATTTAACAGAAAAAAACATTCAGTTTTCTTTTTCCAACATCATTGTTCTGATGTCAAAATTGGAGCCGCCCTGGGGGTTAAGGAATATCCATTTTCCAATACTGTTATATTCTCAGTTTATCAACTTTGATATAATGACATCCTTGCAAAAAACGTTGTTTTTTCCACAAATAAGATTATTTTTAGCCTTCCTGGTTATCTACCTTTAAAAAAAGATGAACTAATTATGAAATAATCATTGGTCATTTTAGCCTTTTTTTCACGAGCCCCAAGAATGTTTAAAATACTCCATGCATGTGACTTTCGTACATGTGGACGGAGCAATACCTACTGCATCGATTGAGATACAAGTGAGGTATTTATAGCCACTAGCTATAACAAAGACATAGAACATACTCGTAAATCATATTATTGGAATGGTGAAGAAATGAATGTATGCAGGCTGTCAACCAGGTCTTATCCAAAATAAAGGAGGTATATAGGAATATTTTAGCAGGAAATATAGGAGTTTTTGGACCATTTTGAGGCAAAAAATAGGAGTTTTCAACTTAAATTGTTTAACTTACCAATGCTTATATAAATGTAAATTATTCTTACTTTTACACATGCTGTTTCTACAATAAAATGTCTACCGTATAAGTGAAGGACACCATTAGCAGGCTGTCCAGCACCTTCCGACATAAAATTAGGGCGAATTTTAGGGTAATATTTCAGAAATTTTAGGGCTAAAATTAGGAATGTTAGGGTACGTAATAGAAATTTTAGGGCTGAAATTTGTAATTTTATAACTAAATAAACTCAGGTCCCAAAGGACCATGATGAGGGTTAATCTTTGCATATTTGACACAAAAGTAACTCACAAATAATGTTCTAGTTTAGTTAGAGCAAAGGTGCTACCAGTGTGGACTCACTGGTCAACTGCCTCCCCTGCGGAAATGGTCAAAGTCAAATCATGTTCAAACCATATTTTTTAAACTGGCTGAACATGTCAAAAAGAACATGACTGTTCTACCTATGTTTTGGGAATGTTATAACCACAAATGTCTAAAAGGAATTCTTATACAGTGAAATTCTTGCACAATGCAGCTTTTGAATATTGACAAATGAAATTTTTTGTACAAGTAGGAAGTAAAAAGGCAGTTGCCTTAGTATAGTCATTTGAATAAATGGGAAGCATCTACCAGGTATAATCAACACAAAGAATTGCACATCAAAAAAGATAATCACACAGACCATTTAATTGCAGTTTATCTAGATCATATAATTGCAAAATGTTTGTACATGGAAATTGGAAATGAGCTTTATATTACTGAACTGCCAATTTTTTTTGAGTGTGATTAATTACACGAGTCTGCCTTTTCCTAAATTGTACCAGATGAATGAAAGAACAAGAATTGAATAAAATTGATAACTTTGTGGCAAAATAAACAAACTCTCCTACAAAGACATTGAAAAGGATAAATAAGTATGTGGGAAAGAATAATTTTTCAAAGTCTACGTTAACCCATTCAGTACTTTACAATGTTGTTTTGAAATTATGCAGATTTAAATAAAAGAGTTGTGAGTAAACAAATTGTACATTAATTTTTGACAACTTTTTATACATGTTTTTAATAAAGATTGTGTTACAACAGCTTCATAATGATCATTTTTAAATATGATATGATATAAATGGACCACTTCAAAAATTTGGATAAAATGAACAAACATAAAATTCAAGATATCTGGAGTTGGCAAAACAGTGTCAAAATATTCCAGAATAAGTGGACTCTTATGGTTATGATTTGAGTTTCAGGACCATGATATGGTAGTATTTTTGCTGTCAATATGATTATCAACAACTGCTTTGATTATGAAATAGCAATGTTACTGACATAGTCAAAGTAACTTTTAGTTAAAACGAAACCATTTCAATGTCATCAATTTTGAGTTGGTATATCATGGCCAAATCTTTTTTGACCATGTTCAAAACATGGTTGACTTAGTTATGTCTGTGATTATTTTGACAGGGTTACAAGTTATAAGTATGTTTATAACAAAAAATAAAAAAAATAGGAATATCAGTGAAAAAATAGGGCATCTATAGGAATTTCCTTTGAATTTTTCACTTTTTTAGGAATTTTAGCCAAACTGAAAAAAAATAGGATTTTTTTAGGAATTATAGGGACGCAGCGGACAGCCTGCATTAGTGAACCACAGCATCAGCATCCCGGCAGAAAGTTACAGCAATGCATGACCATCATCTGAATGGTCACCTGAAATAAAGTTGACATACTGATGCACTGCTTTTCATGGTGACCATGTAGATGGCTATGTGGAGCACAGCAGCCTTGAGCATAGTAATGTGATGCTGATGCAGGCATAGACATTCTCTTCCCTGTAAAATACAAAATGCCAAAAGCAGTACCAAAATTTAAATCTCTTTGAATTGCTCGGCAATATATTTTTAAAACAAGGGTGCCATAGTCACAAAATACGCCCGTTTACGAAAGCTTTAGATGGAAATGGGGGCAGTATGGATAAGTTTTATCTAGCAAGCAAGTTTTTATTCTTGGCACTGTGTTGTTAAATGAACCTTAAAACAAATCAGTAGGGAAGATATACACAGGATGTGTGACCTTGACCTATGTCGCAGGGACCTGAATTTTATGCACGGCACTCAGCCTCACAATGACGAACATTTGTGCCAAATTATATTGAAATCAATCTATGCATGTAGAAGTTTTGCTCCAGACAAGCGTTTTTCTATGAGCTCTACCTGTGACCTTCACCTTTGACCTAGAGACTTGGTTCATGTGCAGGGCACTACGTCTCATGGTGGTGAACAATTCTATAAAGTAACATTAAAATTCCTCCATGCATGTAGAAAATATGCTCCAGACAACATCTGGATATTTAATCATCTCCAGTGACCTTGACCTTGCAAATATTAACCTAAATTTAATATGTCACACCTGTAGTCATGATAGTTACCATTTGTGCTACAATCCATCAATAAATGATGACTAAATGGTCCCTATACACATCTTCAAATTTTTATCTGAACTTTGACCTCTATGTGTAGCCTTGACTATGGTCGCAGGGATCTGAATTTTGCGTGCGACACTCAGCCTCACAAAGGTGAACATTTGTGCCAAGTTATATTGAAATCCCCCTATGAATGTAGAAGTTTTGCTCCGGACAAGCGTTTTTCAATGAGCTCTAAGTGTGACCTTGACCTCTGACCTGGAGACCTGGATCATGCATGGAGCAATACATATCATGGTGGTGAACATTTTCATAAAGTATTATAAAAATTCTTCATTACATGTAGGAGATATGCTCCAGACAAAATCTGGATATTTCACCATCTTTAGTGACCTTGACCTTGCATATATTGACCTAAAGTACATAAATTATATGTATCACAGCCATAGTCTTGATAATGACCATTTTATGTTACAATCCCTCAATAAATGATGACTAAATGGTCCATATACACATCTTCATATTTTTATCTGAACTTTGACCTCTATGTTTGACCTTGACCTTGGCCGCAAGGACCTTAATCTTTCGCGCGACACTCCGCCTCACAATGGTGAACATTTGTGCCAAGTAATATTGAAATCCCTCTATACATGTGGAAGTTTTGCTCCGGACATGCATTTTTCTATGAGCTCTAAGTGTGACCTTGACCTTTGACCTAGAGACCTGGTTCGTGTGCGCGACACTGCTCATCATAGTGGTGAACATTTCTATGAAGTTTCATTAAAATCCCTCCATACATGTAGGAGATATGCTCCGGACAAAATTGGACGCCGCCGCCCGCCCGCCAGGGGCGTTCCCATAATATGTCCCGTTTTTCAAACGGGCGTTTAAAAATATAGGAAAAATAATCAAAATATAGGAGAATATAGGAAAAATAGGAGGTTTTTTAAAATATAGGATTCTGACCCAAAATATAGGAGTTTTATAGGAATATAGGAATTAGTTGACAGCCTGTGTATGCAAACAAATATTTTGTTAACAATGTGACAATTATATATCCATAAAGGACTTAAAAATGAAAATCTACCGTTATATCCCTGGCTTAATTAAATAAACATTATGAAAGTTCATACATATGTTCAGGAGTGAAATCCGTACTAGCTTCGAAATAATGTAGGCCTGATTTCTTCTATGAATAACAATCTGTTTTGGCAAAACCGACATAATACTTAAACTAGGTTTACGACTGAGTATCGTTTTAAAGAAACTTCTTGTTTGTTATAAAATACCATGAAACGTTTTCTATTGCAGCTTATATCAGTTTTTAACGACACAAAAGGCTATTCTAGTATAGAAGTAACAGGCTTCAGGTAAAAATAGTCTTCATTTTTAGCTCGACTATTCAATAAGAATAAGTAGAGCTATTGTAGTCACCCGAGCGTCGGCGTCGGAGTCGGTGTCGGCGTCTGCGTCGGCGTCGGCGTAACCACTTATGTTAAAGTTTTTGTGATAGTTTAAATATTTTCAAAGTCCATTGACATATGGCTTTGAAACTTTGCACATTTGTATACCATCATGACCCCAACCTGTAGACAGGAGGAAGTAACTCTATCAAGCATTTTGACAGAATTATGCCCCTTTTTAGACTTAAAATTTATGTTAAAGTTTTTGTAATACCTCAAATATTTTCAAAATCAATTGACATATGGCTTTGAAACTTTGCACACTTGTTCACCATCATGACCCCAACCTGTAGACAGGAGGAAGTAACTCTATCAAACATTTTGACATAATTATTCCCCTTTTTCGACTTAGAATTTACGTTAAAGTTTTTGTAATGCCTCAAATATTTTTAAAATCCATTGACATATGGCTTTGAAACTTTGCACACTTGTTTACAATCATGACCCCAACATGTAGACAGGAGGAGGTTACTCTATCAAGCATTTTGACAGAATTATGCCCCTTTTTCGACTTAGAATTTACGTTAAAGTTTTTTGTAATACCTCAAATATTTTCAAAGTTCATTGACATATGGCTTTGAAACTTTGCACACTTGTTCACCATCATAACCCTAACCTGTAGACAGGAGGAGGTTACTCAATCAAGCATTTTGACAGAATTATGCCCCTTTTTTGACGTAGAATTTCAATTAAAGTTTTTGTAATACCTCAAATATTTTCAAAATCCATTGACATATGGCTTTGAAACTTTGCACACTTGTTCACCATCATGACCCTAACCTGTAGACATGGGGAGGTAACTCTATCAAGCATTTTGACAGAATTATGCCTCTTTTTCGACTTAGAATTTACATTTAAGTTTTTGTAACACCTCAAATATTTTCAAAGTCCATTGACATAAGGCTTTGAAACATGTTGGAATTTTATACTCTCCTTTGAAAGCATAATAGGACTCTCTCCAAGGCCTATAACCGTAATATGGATTTAAAGGGGAAAAAATGCCTTTTTCTTTACTGAGAAAATTTTACCTTTTAATCAAGGCTTTTTTTACTTTCAAGCACTAAGAATAGTCGAGCGTTGCTGTCCTACCGACAGCTCTTGTTTAAGTATACTTATTTTTATTTCATATGAATTTATGCATTTGAAATATACATGTTTTGTCTTTAATAGTACAGATTGTTCAAAGTCACAATATGCTCAGTCCTTCATTGTCAACTTGAACCGCAACGACTTTATATTTCAAAAGATTGACTGTTATGCCCCGGTCACGTATTCATGGATAATGCCACAGAAGAGCTACGGTCGAATCGTTCACGGATTACTACGGAAATACGGTTCCAGTACGGACCCACAGCAGTATGAGTACGGAGTTCGACGTATATACCACCAATCCCCTGGAGAGACACGGATTGTTATGCACCGACACGGTTTGATACGGAGCGACACGAATCAGTACGGATGCACTACGGATACACTACGGTCTGCTACGGTATAAGCACGTGTTAGTACGAATAAGTATGGTCTGATACGGAGCAACAGATTTTAAAATCAAAAGAGAAGCAGTATCGATTAACCATTTTCGTTAATGATTACTAGTCCATATCTAATCAGGTAAGAGAAGACAGACGAGATGGTAGACTACAGATGGGCTTTTACGAAGACCCCTTCATGTTAAGTATGAGGCTCTCATGGCCGAACTTGTTGAGGATCCGGCGTCCTTCACGAAATTGACTTTAATCGGGTCTTGATATGTATCGGGGGTCGGACGCGATGAGGCCGAATCCTCTCCGCCAAAATCATTGAACTCTGCAAATTCGTTTTCTAGGTGTTCTTTTCTTGTGAGGCATTTTGAAAATGAGCATGCATGAGGTTGTGGACGGATATAATAGGTCCGTATAGACCCGAGGCAATTCGTTCTTCTCCTTATCAATTCGTTCTTCTCTGTATCAGACCATACTTATTCGTACTAACCTGTGCTTATACCGTAGCAGACCGTAGTGTATCCGTAGTGCATCCGTCCTTGATTCGTGTCGCTCCATATCGGTCCGTAACAGTCCGTGTCTCTCCCGGGGATTGGTGGTAAATCCGTCGAACTCCGTACTCGTACCGCTGTGTGTCCGTACTGGAACCGTAGCGGACTACGGAATTTCACATTCCATTTCCGTAGTAATCCGTGAACGATTAGACCGTAGCTCTTCCGTGGCATTATCCGTGAATATGTGACAGGGGCATTACTTATCGTTTATGGAATATGTACTATAAAATTGAAAGGAATTATGACAAAATTTAAACTTATTTTGATTTTTACATTTTTTCTGTGTCGTTAGAGCCAAATACTTTAATAAGTATATTTGCATACTCCAAACAACCTAGAAAATAATTATGAACGGGAATCACACGCAGAAGTTAACATACATAACTATTTTTTCATGTATCATTGAACTTCGACCATGCTTTTAAATCGCTTGTAATCATTTTAATTTGGTGAAATTATACAATATATTGGCCTGAAATTTCTAGCTCAGGTAGTACTGGATACTAAGCTTAGTAAGAGTTCGATATTCTATTTCTCTTAAACCATTGAATCCAAAACAAGGTCTGAGGTCAACATTTACAACATATTTAAACAAGTGGTGATATAAATTTTAAAACTGAAAGTCCATTGTAAAGAAATATATTCTGAACTCAACACTGTATTCAATTCTTCTCAATATTCGCGCGTTCAAAATAATTGTAATACCAATGCTTGTCCTGAACAAAAGGGGCTTTAAAAAAGAAATTGAATATCGTCTCAAAACCATTTCGAATTAAAATGCTAAGAGGATATTATTTCGTTTGAGTGAAATATGGAATATATTTTCACAAAACATGATAAAATGCCACATAATTTGACGAGCCGGGACGGCCATATTTCGATAAAAAAAAACGGAAAATAACCTTTTTTATTTAATTTCACTAACAAAGAAAAATGGTTACGAATCACACAACTGCAATTATTCAGCGCGCAGTAATCTATTAATTATTTATAGATTCGTGGCGCGGTTTAATACACATAAAAAGTCTGTGTGTTTATTTATTTCATTCTGTATATTTATAGCGAAATAAATGTGAAATTTAATTGGTTTGCGGCATAAAAATAGCGGTTTTCGCACATCCTGTTTTAGCGCTACATTATGCTGTCACGTAAACAACTCTTTAAACGTCTGTACAGCGCCATATTTCATGGCTAATTAAATAAAGCACCATATTTCATGGGAAATTAAATAAAGCGCCATATTTCATGGGTAAAATTAAATAAAGCACCATATTTCACGGGTAAAATTAAATAAAGCACCATATTTCATGGGCAATTAAATGAAGCATCATATTTCATGGATAAAATTAAATAAAGCACCATAGGTCATGGGTAAAATTAAATAAAGCACCATATGTCATGGGAAATTAAATAAAGCATCATATGTCATGGATAAAATTAAATAAAGCACCATTTGTCATGGGTAAAATTATATAAAACACCATATTTTTATGGGAAATTAAATAAAGCACCATATTTCATGGGTAAAATTAAATAAAGCACCATATTTCACGGGTAAAAGTAAATAAAGCACCATATTTCATGGGTAATTAAATAAAGCATCATATTTCATGGATAAAATTAAATAAAGCACCATATGTCATAGGTAAAATTAAGTAAAGCACCATATTTCATGGGTAAAATTAAATAAAACACGATATTCGTTCATTTATATTGGGTTTTTTTAAATTAAATTTTGTTTTTGTTTTAAATTGCTGTTGTTGTTTTAAATGTCAATCTCACATTTGATTTAACATCGATATTAGCAGGTTGTTCGACCTTTTTCAAAATACATGTCGAACCCAGAGCTATCTATGAGTAAGCTTCAGGTCTTCAGCGTACCCGTTTATATACTATGACATGACGTGAACGCTGAACAACAATCGAGCCAGGAATCTGACACGCTCGTATTCATTCATCGAACATGCCATAAAGTAAAATTAAGCATACCTGGATAAAACTAGATATAATCTTTTGATGAGCCAAGGACGGACAAATAAAAATCTTATTACTAACATAAACTACCTAATAGTTTCCGACAGGTAAAAATTCCGGCACTAGGCCGCCATATTGCCAAAATGTTTTACCACGTGATTACGACATTGACCTTTACGAACCCATGTGCTTCCAATATTTTTGTAAATTACTTTTCTTTAAGATACTGAAAAAGGTACTGACTTTTACATTCAATAAAATTTAAGTACTTAAAAATTAATGAAAATAAATAAAAACATTATCTTGAATAAAAACATCGAAATCGTGTCAACAAACTGTTCTAAATATAGTACACGACTCTATTCAAATTGGTTCCCGCGAATGACGTCAACGAGGTCTCGCGTGGCACCTAAATGTCATGGACGACTACAGTCGGCATAAATTGATGTTTTACAGTTAAATAGGCACTTTTAATGACGGTATTAATATTTTGATACTTTGATGGGTATAGAACGATATTAAAATAATTGTTTTATCGTAAAATGCAAAAGAATTGATTGGGTCAAGTGTATTTGCAAGTGAAAAATAAGAATAAATCAACTTATGTTATTCTGGTTAGGTTTCGTAACTAGGGTCTAATCCGCATCTGATGAAAAACAAAAATGTTAAATACACGGTGCATATCCATATCGGTACCCTCTTTGCGAAATCTGCTGAAACGATACCCTCTCTGAACATGCATGCACAGGTCATTCTCTGCTAAAAACAAACCAGCAATGGATACCAATCCAGTAAAATTTCATTGTAATAAGGAAAGGAGGTATGTCACGTAGAAAAGATGTATACTACGGAACACTAGGATGTTTTATTTATGTACTGATTGTCATGTGCCCGATTTTCATTTACTACAAGTATATAATATTTACATAAAATTAAAAAGTATTACATACACACTTAACGATTAACGCAAATAAAAGCATATGTCGTGCTTTCAGGGTACCTATGTGTTCAATAATGAGAGGGTACCTGTGATATAAAAATTCAAATGAAGAGAGGTAGCCCGTGCCGCTGCAAAACCGAAAGTAGGGTGTTTTTATGAATTTTACATTTATTTTTGACAATATACTGCCATTTGTCCGAAGATGATATGTATATGAACATATTAAATATGTATGATGCATATATAATCAAGCCACAGGTTCATTTCAGCCCGAAAAATATGTCGAGGTGATGGGCGAAGCAAGACATGTCGATTTTTTGTAGCTTATTGTGAAGTTGCAGTACATGAAAATCGGGCACATGACAAATCAGTACATAAATAAAACATCCTAGTGTTCCGTGGTATACATCTTTTCTACGTGACATCCCTCCTTTCCTTATTACAATGAAATTTTACTGGATTGGTATCCATCGCTAGTTTGTTTTTAGCAGTGAATGACCTGTGCATGTTCAGAGAGGGTACCGTTTCAGCAGATTTCGCAAAGAGGGTACCGATATGGATATGCACCGTGAAATAGCGGCTTCTAAAGTTTTGGAAGCCAGAACCATCTATGAGTTCAAAGCAAACTCTATACGTTTTAGAATTTTGAATATTTTCAGAGCTTGCTTTGCATTCAAGCATCTCGATATTCACTTTTTCAATGTATAGTCTTTAGTCTATTTGAATATCGAAATTAGAGCTAACTGGAAATTCAACTGAACCTGGAAGTCGGTTACTATTAATAAGGAGTTGATCTGAAAGATAAAAACTACATAATTATGTAGCTGGATATTGAATTAATCTCTGATTTCAGATTTATGCAAAAGAACTAAGAAACACACTGAAACAGAAAATTATATATTTATCCATTTATATACATTGATTTACAATAATATAATAAATAACAATGCGATATTTGCTTTCATAACAAATTCACGTTTTCCTTAAACCGATTTCTTCATTAGCAAAGGGGCAGGGGTGAAAAGACGTCTATATGAAGTAATGGGTATTAATAAAGAAATACGTTGATATGTTTATTATATAGCGACATAATGCCATATTAAAATCTGAAATATATGTTTATCGAAATTATAGTTTTATGATGTTGGTTTCTTTTGAACGTTTAACTTACTTCGTAACCGAACTTGCATTATTTTCTATTTTTGCGACTCCGATACATATATGTAGTAATTAGATATTTCTTTCTTTTTCACAGTAAGTTGTATATTTTTTATTTTCAGAAAAGGTTCTATAATTGCTGATTACAGATTGATTCTAAATTCGTTCGATGTCGCTAAGAATGCTTTATCCTTTATCAAAGCAACGGTTGTACCGCGGATTACAAATATTTCACCAATACAAAATCTTCCTGTAAACAAGCAATTCGTTCAAAATATCATGGAAGAAAAGTTGAAAACATGTAAGTCTTATATAATTGTGTTAAGTTTTTGCATTTTCTAAGGGAAATTGAGTCTATCAAATACATTTTATGCTGTAGCCCGTATATAATTAGTATCTTCAACGTTTACGCTATTGAATATACGTATTAACTTAAAATTGTTGAGCTTTTAAGTCAACTTCTTTCAGTACTTATATCTATGTTCACTATTGCATTTATACATATTTACATACATTTATTGATTCATTTACATTTATGCATTTATATATATTTATTGATTTATACATTTATATTCTCTACTTTACACAGTTATCTTCTCTTCTTAAAACATTCGTGTCCATTACATGTATATCAAGATTGGTGTCATCTTAGTTAAACATTATCTTATCCAGCTTCTATTCTATATACAGTCATGTACGCTACTACAATTTTGGTGTTCACTTTTTCAGAAACTCGGACCTCTACATCAATCAATCATGTACAATCATTCAGCCATTTATGTTCCCATTGTCCTGTTCATCAAGTATTCATGTCCTCTAGTTCAAAAAATATCTTGCCCTTTACATAATCACTGTCTCCTCAACTTAAGACATTCGTATTGACTAAAGTGAACAATTTCTGTCATATATAACAAAAAAAAAGTAAGTTTCTATGTTTGTCATAATGATAACTCAGTTTATTTCTCGCCCTGGTGATGCAGACAGCTCTGGATGTGAAGTTTTCTCTAAAGACATTTGTCCTGTTGGTTTCACTTGCAAAACAAATAGCATTACTCATAAACATTATTGCGAAAACCTGTGTATAAAGGACGACAAGCCGTTATGTGGGGACAAGGGGGAATGCTACGTAGATGCTGTAAATTATACAGCACGATGCAGGTCAGTTAACATTGATATGACTGGTTGCTTTGCACGTTACAGGCTTTTCTTTTTAAATAAAATAGCTGTTATTAATACACGGCAACACTTAACAAATCATTGCCTATATACGAGGATTGTCCCAAAAGTCCGTGACAAATTTTATAGCCGGTTCATTTTTAACGCCAACAGAAAATAATTCACACATATAACCGTTAAATTTATTATTTAACATTACAACAAATCATTTACAAAAAATTTACCCTAGTTACTTAGAAATTTTCAGTATTAACGACATTGGTTTGAGTTGCCGGCGCACGTCAAATAATTTACATTTTGTTATGAATAGGCTGAAATTAATTACGTATATTTCAAATATCTGATGATGTGTCTGCACAATGTCACGTTGACTTCCTCTGCTGCTATGTTTAAATCATCTCTGAAAATTTTAGTTAAATAACTTAAAAAACGAAAAAGATACGAATAAATGAAAATATCTCATATAAAATAGGAAAGTTAAAATGGCGACGTTCGAAGAATTTGCGGCGCAGTGAACAGGTCACTCAGGTTTCATGACTATTTCGAGATGACACATGTAACGATTTTCAACAAATATACCAAATATAACAGTTTAGCAACATATTCTGAGCATTTGTGTACCAAAGGCATGAACAGAACCAGAGTTTTGCGCTACAAAAAGCGAAAATAAGCAAAACACGGATAGGAAGACCGATCTTCGTCGCCTATTTCCTACAGCTAAAAACAGAAGTAACGAGACCGGAAGTTCGCGTATAGCAAAAACAACCACATGATTTAAGTCAGAAATTGACGATTTATGGGTACCATTATTGCGTTGAAAGCCATTAAGAGTATTTGAGAAAGGCGCCTTATATAGATTTAACGCCGTCTTTGACGTTGGACGTGCGCCGCGATTCAGTTAGTTGCCATGGTGTTTATTGCACATTTTTGTTGTTTGTTGATATTTATCTATGAAAATTTGTGAAAATGTTTAAATTATATAAGTTTATAACATATTAAAATATCAAATTCGTACCTCTTTTATTTAGCTTTTAATCAATCTTGTCACAGAATATTGGGACAACCCTCGTATATCGCGATTTATTTCTGGTTGCCACGTACTTTACTCTATTCTTATAACAGATATTTTAAAATATATCCCATTAATGGAACATCCTGTTTCTAAGTTGATAACTAAGCGAAAAGGGAGTTTTCTGCCGATTATTTTTTAACATGTAATAAGAATTTCATGAACTAAAACTATTTACTAATGTCATTTTTAGCTCGACTTTTTTTTAAAAGTAGAAGTATAATTATTATAGTCCTGGCGGCGCTGCCGTTTCCGTTGCCTTGCCGTCTGCAAACTTGTACCTGGATCATAACTTTTTAGCTCACCTGAGCATGCTCAGGGCGAGCTTTTAGGATCGACGATTGTCCGTCGTCCGGCGTCCGTTGTCCGTCGTCCGGCGTCCGTCGTCCGTCCACATTTAGTTGTTAACACTTTAGCGGTGGCATTTTTGCCTCAATCATTATCAAACTTGGTCAGGATGCTAGTCTAGTAGACAGTTCGGATGAGATCGAACATGGGTCATCTCGGATGAAAAAATAGGTCACCGGAGCTAAAAATAGAAAAACCTTGTTAACACTCTAGCGGTCACCTTTTTTGTCTCAATCATCATCAAACTTGGTCAGGATGCTTGTCTAGGTGATAGCTTGGATGAATTCGAACATGTGTCATCTCCGATGAAAAACTAGGTCACATGAGCTAAAAGGTCACATTTTTAACAAGTGTCATCAAACTTGATCAGGATGCTTGTCTAGGCACTTGCTCAAATGAGTTCGAACATGGGTCATCTCGGATGAAAATCTATGTCACAGGAGCTAAAAGGCTACATTTTTGAACAAGTGTCATCAAACTTGATCAGGATGCTTGTCTAGGTACTTGCTCGGATGAGATCGAACATGGATCATCTCGGATGAAAAACAAGGTCACCCGAGCTTAAAATAGAAAAACCTTGTTAACACTCTAGCGGTAACATTTTTGTCTCAATCATCATCAAATTTGGTCAAGATGCTTGTTTAGGTATTAGCTTGGATAAGTTTGAACATGGGTCATCCTGGATGTAAAACTAGGTCATCGGAGCTAAAAATAGAAAAACCTTATTTACATTCTTGCGGTCAGATTTTTGCCTCAATCATCATCAAACTTAATCAAGGTGCTTGTTAAGGTGATAGTTCATATGACTTCGAAAATGGGTCATCTCGGATGAAAAACTAGGTCACTGGAGCTAAAAATAGAAAAAACCTTGTTAACACTCTAGCGGTCACATTTTTGCCTCAATCATCATCAAACTTGGTCACGATGCATGTCTAGGTGATAACGTGGATGACTTCGAACATGGGTCATCTCGGATGAAAAACTAGGTCACAGGAATTAAAATTAGAAAATTTTTCTTAACACTCTAATGGCTACTGTTTTGATCCAAATATCCTGTAAATTGGTCAGAAAGTTTGTTCTGTTGATTTCTAAGTCAAGTTTGAACATTGGTCATCTCGGATGAAAAACTAGGTCACACCGCCCAAATATGGAAAAACCTTGTTAACACTCAAGTGGTCACAATTTTGACTCAAGTATCATCAAACATGGTCAGGATGCTTGTCTAGGTAATTGCTTGGAGGAGTTCGAAATCACATGTGAAACTAGGTCACCGGAGCTAAAAATAGAAAAATCTTGTTAACATTCTAGTTGCTACTGTTTGGATCCAAGTATCCTGGAAATTGGTCTGAAAGTTTGTTTTGATGATTTCTAGGTCAAGTTTGAATATCGGTTACCTGGGTAAAAAACTAGGTCACACTGCTCAAATATGGATAATCCTTGTTAACACTGTAGTGGTCACATTTTTGACTCACCTGTCATGAAACTTGGTCAGAATGCTTGTCTTGGTAATTGTTCGGATGAGTTTGATGGGTCAGGTGAGCGATCTAGGGCCATCATGGCCCTCTTGTTTATTTCTTGGTGTATTATCGTCATACTTGGTCACAACAACCCTTGGGACAAGACCTTTCAGTAGACCACACAAACATTGACCTTCATCCATAAATGACCTTGACCTTCAAGGTCAAAATTCCAAATTTTGCTTGTTCTTGCTATTATTTCAATTTATTTGCTGTAACTTTGTTATTTTTGAATGGATTGTCTTCAAACTAGAACATAATAATCTTCAAGGATATCCCTTAACAATGACCAGACAGACCTTCACTCATAAATGACCTTGACTTAGAAGGTCAAATTATTAAAATTTTCATTTATTTGGCTGTAACTGGCTGTAACATTGTTTTTTTTTTTTAATGGATTGTCTTCAAACTTGAACATAATAATCTTCAATGATAACCCTTACCAATAACCAGACAGACATTCACTCATAAATGACCTTGACTTTGAAGGTCAAATTATTGAAATTGTCATTTTTTTGGCTGTAACTGGCTGTAACTTTGTTATTTTTGAATGGATTGATTTCAGACTTGAACATAATAATCTTCAAGGATAACCCTTAACAATAACCAGACAGACATTGACCTTCACTCCTAAAGGCACGCTTACTAAAGGATAATTTAAAGAAAATAATTTAAAGATATCACCGTTCATTTTCTGAAGTGCTTTTTTAAATGTATGTTATTTTTTTTTCATCAGAAAAATATATAAATATTAACGTTTTGTGTTATATAGGTCAAGATATCTTATAGAACTAAAATATAATTCTTAGCTACATTTAAGTGTTACAATAATTATAATGTTTGTGGAATAAATTTTGCTATCAACATTTGAATTACAATGAAGTTATATTCGGACTTATTTATTTACTTTTATTTTACTTTCGTCACTTAAACCAATGATTACAGATTAATCAATCCCTTAAAATGTGATAATAATTGATCAATGATACAAATGTTGATCAAGAAGAAATGTGACTAATTATTAAATAAGACATTTGCAACCGTTGTTGACGGAAAAGTCACTTTGTATATTTTAATGATGAAATGTTGTGAACCGTCGGAGTCACGACCATAATTCTTCATATAACACCATCACTGGTTGTTTCCATGAAGTGGATTCAAAAGTAATTTATATAAGTTGCAAGAACTTGCTTACATAAAAATAATTAAACCGATTGTCGGACTGAACTATACTAATATTTTAATTTTTCAAATTCATCCAGTTTTGATACACATATTTCTTAGATTAAATTACAATATAATAACACAAAACTTTATTAGCCTTTGATTAATTTAAGTAGTTTAATTAACTTTTCTTAAAATTAGTCAGATTAAAAAATGACTTGAGATTTCTCAAAGAGATATTTAGATAAAAAAAAGGAACAGTTGTATCATTAATATTTATTTCTTCTTGATCAACAGTTGTATCATTAATATTTATTTCTTCTTGATCAATAGTTGTATCATTAATATTTATTTCTTCTTGATCAACAGTTGTATCATTAATATTTATTTCTTCTTGATCAACAGTTGTATCATTAATATTTATTTCTTCTTGATCAACAGTTGTATCATTAATATTTATTTCTTCTTGATCAATAGTTGTATCATTAATATTTATTTCTTCTTGATCAATAGTTGTATCATTAATATTTATTTCTTCTTGATCAACAGTTGTATCATTAATATTTATTTCTTCTTGATCAACAGTTGTATCATTAATATTTATTTCTTCTTGATCAATAGTTGTATCATTAATATTTATTTCTTCTTGATCAACAGTTGTATCATTAATATTTATTTCTTCTTGATCAACAGTTGTTTCATTAATATTTATTTCTTCTTGATCAACAGTTGTATCATTAATATTTATTTCTTCTTGATCAACAGTTGTATCATTAATATTTATTTCTTCTTGATCAACAGTTGTATCATTAATATTTATTTCTTCTTGATCAACAGTTGTATCATTAATATTTATTTCTTCTTGATCAATAGTTGTATCATTAATATTTATTTCTTCTTGATCAATAGTTGTATCATTAATATTTATTTCTTCTTGATCAACAGTTGTATCATTAATATTTATTTCTTCTTGATCAATAGTTGTATCATTAATATTTATTTCTACTTGATCAACAGTTGTATCATTAATATTTATTTCTTCTTGATCAATAGTTGTATCATTAATATTTATTTCTTCTTGATCAACAGTTGTATCATTAATATTTATTTCTACTTGATCAACAGTTGTATCATTAATATTTATTTCTTCTTGATCAACAGTTGTATCATTAATATTTATTCTACTTGATCAACAGGTGTATCATTAATATTTATTTCTTCTTGATCAACAGTTGTTTCATTAATATTTATTTCTACTTGATCAACAGTTGTATCATTAATATTTATTTCTTCTTGATCAATAGTTGTATCATTAATATTTATTTCTTCTTGATCAACAGTTGTATCATTAATATTTATTTCTACTTGATCAACAGTTGTATCATTAATATTTATTTCTTCTTGATCAATAGTTGTATCATTAATATTTATTTCTTCTTGATCAACAGTTGTATCATTAATATTTATTTCTACTTGATCAACAGTTGTATCATTAATATTTATTTCTTCTTGATCAACAGTTGTATCATTAATATTTATTTCTACTTGATCAACAGGTGTATCATTAATATTTATTTCTTCTTGATCAACAGTTGTATCATTAATATTTATTTCTTCTTGATCAACAGTTTGTATCATTAATATTTATTTCTTCTTGATCAACAGTTGTATCATTAATATTTATTTCTACTTGATCAACAGTTGTATCATTAATATTTATTTCTACTTGATCAACAGTTGTATCATTAATATTTATTTCTTCTTGATCAACAGTTGTATCATTAATATTTATTTCTTCTTGATCAACAGTTGTATCATTAATATTTATTTCTTCTTGATCAATAGTTGTATCATTAATATTTATTTCTTCTTGATCAACAGTTGTATCATTAATATTTATTTCTTCTTGATCAACAGTTGTATCATTAATATTTATTTCTTCTTGATCAAACAGTTGTTTCATTAATATTTATTTCTACTTGATCAACAGTTGTATCATTAATATTTATTTCTTCTTGATCAATAGTTGTATCATTAATATTTATTTCTTCTTGATCAACAGGTGTATCATTATATTATTTCTTCTTGATCAACAGTTGTATCATTAATATTTATTTCTTCTTGATCAATAGTTGTATCATTAATATTTATTTCTACTTGATCAACAGTTGTATTCAATTAATAATTTATTTCTTCTTGATCAACAGTTGTTTCATTAATATTTATTTCTTCTTGATCAACAGTTGTATCATTAATATTTATTTCTTCTTGATCAAGAGTTGTAATTTCTACTTGATCAACAGTTGTATCATTAAATATTTATTTCTTCTTGATCAACAGTTTGTATCATTAATATTTATTTCTTCTTGATCAACAGTTGTATCATTATATTTATTTCTTCTTGATCAACAGTTGTATCATTAATATTTATTTCTTCTTGATCAATAGTTGTATCATTAATATTTATTTCTTCTTGATCAACAGTTGTATCATTAATATTTATTTCTTCTTGAATCAAACAGTTGTATCATTAATATTTATTTCTTCTTGATCAACAGTTGTTTCATTAATATTTATTTCTTCTTGATCAACAGTTGTTATCATTAATATTTATTTCTTCTTGATCAACAGTTGTATCATTAATATTTATTTCTTCTTGATCAACAGTTGTATCATTAATATTTATTTCTTCTTGATCAAAAGATATATCATTAATATTTATTTCTTCTTGATCAACAGTTGTTTCATTAATATTTATTTCTTCTTGATCAATAGTTGTATCATTAATATTTATTTCTTCTTGATCAACAGTTGTATCATTAATATTTATTTCTTCTTGATCAACAGTTGTATCAGTAGTGACGGTTATGTATATCATGGCGAACATTGTGAACACAAGACAGAGGAGTTGAAAATGAACTCGAAATACATCATAGCTATAGGAGCTGGATGTGGTGGAGCACTTCTTCTTATCACTGTAGTTTCTGTAATATGCTTTGTCCGATTAAAAAGAACAAAGTCGAAGTCGCCAATGTGAGTATTAAGAAAAAGTAATGTAACCGCCGTTGAATCTGAACTTCAATTTTGAATAAGATTTCAAATTTCTTACTTTCGAAATATGAAAATTGTTCAATAAGTTTACTTAAAACTAGTACAAAATTCAATTATAATGGAATAAGTAATATTTCTTATTAAACGTCTTACTTGTATGTATGATGTAACATAATTATAATATATGTAAGTTGATCCCTGTACTACTACATGTAAGCCTATATGTTTGTCACTAAGAAAGAAAACAGTTTAGTAAAAGATTTGCATGCATATGTTTCAAATGATAAGATAAAAAAATTAAATTTCTTTTGCTTTTAAACATTTCTGATAATCAGTGTGAACTCCATCTTCAGTGATGACAAGGATACACAATTTAAGTCAATGGGTATGATGGACATACGGCGCGACAGGTTCGGCGGTCAACGTGAAAGTTTTTATGCACAAAGAAAGAACACGATAGAAAACGAATATCATTCAGGTCTTCCGAATCAAGATATTAAATATTTGCAGGGTCGTGAACATAAAATTTTTACAAGGAAACGAGAAAGGGATGAAGTTACATTCAATTATTATTTTAATTATATACTTAATCTTTAAGTTTGTTGTGAATATTTTCATGAGTTAAAGGACATTTCATATTGCAATTTATGATATTGACTAAAGCAACACTTGTATAAAATGCATTGTATTTTAAGTGGGTCTTACTTAAAATTTTATTACGTTTCAAAAATATTTTTAATTTCAATTATTAGGACAACTATTTAATGAAATCCCATTTTTTTTGGGTTATTTTCCCCTTTAAAAATTGCCCATCAAAAAAGCAACCCTAAAAATATAATGAATTCAAAAAAAGATTGAAAAGAACAAAGCGAAATTCAATGTTTGGTATTGTTTTACATTATCACGTTTCAGACATATATCTATCAACCTAGTAGCAACCGGTCATCTGTCGGGTCTGAATTAAGCGTGGGACCAACGGTCTATGATTACATTGATACAGACTCTAAGGTATATTGCCATTCAAATTACATTAACGAATTCACACTTTTTGATAATTAAAGAGTTTCTTTTGTTTCTATTTTCTTATGGTCAATGATGGGATATTGATAACCACCAAGTTATCAAAATAAAGATATTACTTTGTTCCGGAATTGAGTCGTTCAGAACTGATGTTGCAATCTAATTTATTAACTGATAAAAGGAGATAATGCACATTTTTAAACTCCAAAATCATGAAAACTAAATATCAGACTCAGTTCGATGCAGCCTGTTTATGTAGAAGAGTGGTAATTATAATCTACCCTCTTCCCTCTTTTACACGAAAAGAAACAAAGAGTATATTTAAGATTTTTTACTGTATCAGATCATATAGGATTATCATATAGAAGTTTGTTCATCTTTTCAGTTTGAGATACAACGACCAAATGTCCGCCTCGGGCACCTCAACAAGTTTTAAAGAATTAGATGTTGTAAATTTTTGGATTATTGTTGGTTCATGAAGATACTGATGAAAAGGTTTCAACCGCCTAGAGAATTTTCGGAACACTATTTATAGAGTTATTTTAATTAGATTTTTTGAGAAATATAACTGGATGTTTTAGGATTGATTACCATACAGTAAACATCAACTGATTTTAGCGAATATACAATCTGTAATCCATGAAAAGAGTATTGTATCGTATGTATAGTTATACCCCCACCACAAAATGGGGGGGGGGGGGCTATAATGGATTCGCTTTGTCGCGTCGGTCGGTCGGTCGGTCCGTCCGTCGGTCGGTCCGTCTCCATTTTCGTGTCCTCTCTATAACTCCTATACCAATTGAAGGATTTTCTTCAAACTTGGCTCAAATGTTCATCTCAACAAGGGGATGTGCAGAACCCATATTGCCCATGTGTCAGTTCAAGGTCAAGGTCACAATTGAAGGTCAAATATCAAACACTATCAAATATTACACAGTATGTCGTGTCCGCTCTGTAAGTCCTACACTACTTGAAAGATTTTCTTCAAACTTGGCTCAAATGTTCACCTCAACCAGGGGATGTGCAGAACCCATGTCGCCCATGTGTCAGCTCAAGGTCAAGGTCACAATTGAAGGTCAAATATCAAACAATTAAATATTACACAGTATGTCGTGTCCGCTCTGTAAGTCCTACACTACTTGAAAGATTTTCTTCAAACTTGGCTCAAATGTTCACCTCAACAAGAGGATGTGCAGAACTCATGTTGCCCATGTGCCATCTCAAGGTCAAGGTCACAATTGAAGGTCAAATATCAAACAATCAAATATTACACATTATGTTGTGTCCGCTCTGTAAGTCCTACACTTATTGAAAGATTTTCTTCAAACTTGGCTCAAATATTCACCTCAACAAGGGGATGTGCAGAATCAATGTTGTCCATGTGTCAGCTCAAGGTCAAGGTCACAATTGAAGGTCAAATATCAAACAATCTAATATTACACAGTATGTCATGTCCGCTCTGTAAGTCCTACACTAATTGAAAGATTTTCTTCAATCTTGGCTCAAATGATCATCTCAACCAGGGGATGTGCAGAACTTATGTCACTTTTTTGCTGGCTTAAGGTCACGGTCACACTTTAAGGTCAAAAATTGACTTACAAAATATTCTTAAATTTTAACATTTATTTGAATATTTCTAAACCTAGAAAAGGTATTTGCTTGAAACTTAAAATATTTTTGAAGGGTCACAATTCCGATATGCTGTTCGTTCAAGTTTCATAACTCTGTATTGCATTTTACCAAAGTTATGCCCCTTTTTAAGTCTTCAAATTTACATACAATCAAATATTAGATAATATGTTGTGTCCGCTCTATAAATCCTATACTAATGGAAGAATTTTCTTCAAACTTTACTCAAATTTTCACCTCAACAAGGTTATGTGCAGAATCCATGTCACCTTTGTGCCGGCTAAAGGTCAAGGTCACACTTGAAAGTAAAAAAATGACTTAGAAAATGTTCTTAAATTTTAACATATACTTGAATAATTCTGAAACTAGCGCAGGCATTTGCTTGAAACTTTAAAGATATATGAGGTGTGGCAAATAAGATATGCAGGTCAAGTTTCATTACTCTGTATTTCATTTTTACAAAGTTATGCCCCTTTTTAAGTCTTCAAATTTACATACAACCACTACTAGACAATATATTGTGTCTACTCTATAAATTCTATACTATTGGAAGGATTTTCTTCAAACTTTACTCAAATGTTCAACCAAACTGGGTGATTTGCAAAACCCATCTTACCCTTGTGCCAAATTAAGGTCAAGGCCACACTTGAAGGTCAAAAATTGACTTATAAATAAAATGTTTAATACATTGGGAAAATGAAAGGTTATTTGTAACTGTTTCGAACATGATTTGATAATATATATTTATACTATTACCTGTACAATTAGTCTTTTTTCACCAGAGAAAATTTCTTTTTATGTATTTGTGCCACATAAGTTATTCCTTTAACCACCTTTCCAAGTGGTCTTCTGTCAAAGACATTGGTGGGGGTATGAATCGCATTCAGCGATAGTTCTAGTTCAAAATGTAAAAAAGTGTCATAACTATTTTATTTATAGCTTTACTATCAAATTCCGCTATTATCACATTTTTTTTGCTGTTTAATCATGTTGATAATTTGTTAATCAGATATGCAATTGGTCACCATTATGCTACATGTATAAGCTGCATTGAGAGTGACATTATAATGAAGAAATTTGAACAGATTTTATTTCTCATTGTACACTTTTTTCAACACTCATTGCGATATATTGTTTGTGTTTATTTTGTGTGTTGATAATGTCTATATTCACCTAGTTTATATTTCTGCGTAATGTCACTTCTATCACGCTGTTATTTTCCACAATTATTTAACTGTGATTTGAAGAGGTAGAAACAACACAACACTTAAGTTTTATGTGTAACTGTCTTTTCTATGTATACTTTATAATAATACTATCACTGTTTTATCATATTCTGCTGTCAAGTTCTGCTAAGTGTTAAGAATAAAACTTGACACAAGTGGTTCAGTGTATCAAACAGACCCCTTCTTCCAAAAGTCAAAGTCACACGTAAAAGCCAAATTGTAAAAAAGTCAATTCCATGTCTGCTGCACAGCCTATTGGCTACTCGGAATGATTTTTTTTAAATAACGTGAAATAAATGATAACCAATATAATATGATGTGCAAGCCATGTCACTAAGGTAAAGGTCACTAAAACTGTTTTATTCTTAAGTAGATTTTGAATAAATTGGGACCAAATAATCACTATTACGCAATCGAAGTACGCACGAAGTGCACAGAACAACAACAATGTTTTTCCCAAAATGTCAAGGTCTGTCAAATGTTTAAAACCCACATCCGTATCTGCTTCGACAGGGGATAAGGTTTTTTAAGACCGTCGTGTATAATAAGCTTCTCTTCGTATTATATATTCATATAAACATTTTTCCACGTTGTCCATACCATTACTAACGACAATTTGTTTAAGCTCACAGAGCTTAAGCACAAGGCAAAGGCCTGTCGATCAGACGTCCGTATTCCATTTAAAAGTTCATAGTCATCAAACATTTTAAGAATAAGTATCTAAGCGACTCCTCGAAAGAGGTTGATGATGGGTCAAATGAAAGAAATATTTAACAATCTAAATATTTTAATTGTTTGTTAATTTTTTATTTGTCAAAACGGCGACAAATAGGGGTCAATTTCTCTTCGTCTGTCTGTTACAAGACATGTGCAGACTATCCTAAAAAACTACTAGTGCAATTTCATCCAAACTCAAAGTTCACAGGAATGATCAGTACCAAGTCTTGTTGTGTATGTCGTCAGCGTTTTCCGGTTCAATGATTTGTGTCCCTTTAATTATTTGATTTTTTTAAGGTTGATAAGACTACTTCTCTTATACCACTAAAGCAATTTCAATAAAACGTTACAAGGGTGTTCTGTAGCTCAATTATTTGTGCTTATTACACGGGTTTTCTAGTTGAATGATTTTTAGCTGAGAAATAGCACTTTAATAAAAATGTGTTTTGTGATTCCAGCTACACTGAATCTTGTCCGGACTACTTCTTAGAAACAACTGATGCAGTGTCATCCAAACTTTACAGGAATGATCAATACTAAAGTCTAGTTGTGCATAAAATTGACTCAAAACTAGGTCACCAGGCTCAAGAAAAACCTTTTTTATTGTCACAGATTTGATTTAACATTCCTTTTAGAAATGTAAATGTAGTGATAAAAGAAGGTTAAAAACAACTTCACCGGGTCAAATTGAAGAAAAACATTTAATTTAACAAAGGTGATAAAAGCCTTCGTTAAAAGTCTAGAGTAGATTTGATCTATACTCCGGGCTATCTTTGCATGTTTATATCAATGCAGGAGTTCGAAAATTCATCTATGATTAAAAAATAGTTATTAGATAGATTGAATCAATAAAATCTTTGTTTTACATTGTAAAAGTGGTCATAATTCTCATTTGATCATCCAAGCTCATCGGAATTTTTTCTGCTTGATATTTTGGTAAGGTTAAAAAAAATGACATCAAAGGTTTAAAAATGTAAGACATGAAGACAAATGAAGGAAAACCTTGGACTCACAGTTTTCTTTTAAATCATATTACATGTACACATCGCACTTTTCGTATTAGTGTCTTATTAAGTCTTGACAATATTAAAGTTTGGTACACTGTGGTCAAAACTTGGGTCGCAATATCAAATTCTTGATCAAATTCTTGAGGCCTTATAGAAGAAACAATTTTAATTGAATCTTATAATTGTATTTTGCAAATACGAATAAGTGTTTAGATAAAACTTTACAATAACACTATGGTGAGCGAACAAAAGTCAACATTTTCCTTATGTATTGCAAAGATATTGATTAATTTTCTGAGTAATGGGTTGGCATTTTCAGAATTTTGATTTGTATAGTCTAGTTTGATTCAATATTTAAAATTATTGCTATATCGTCTAGTATTTTAATTATGATGGCTTCTTCATTTCTTATGCATCTGTGTAAATTGATTAAATTGAAGGATGCAAATTTCTCAGTCTGTGTCAATAACTTTATAATCAGAAGAGTGAGTGAGTTTTACAGGAAAAATGAACAGTTTTGTTTTATCCAATAAACAGATATAAATGATAAACATGTTTGCTTTTTTCTTACTCCCTGGATAGAAATGCTATACAAATACTAATTGAAAGATATTGATACTAAAATAATATCCTATATAAGTACCAGGGTTGTTCAATATGTAATGTGTATTGTACAGTATCTCAAGAGAATTCAACTCAAATAGTCAAATCAACATTACATCCCTTCAAAATAGTCCAAACGGTTAAAATACATGATTTCAATCTCTGAATATATCTTTAAAATGACTAAGGTAAACTTCTGAGAACAGGGGTCTGTCTGGACTTCTAATTATTGTTATGTTTTGGGACATGGAACTTGTTCATATAGGACTAGATCAAGTATTGTGGGTGTGGCAGGACGTTACCTTCTCCGACTACAAAAATAGTTTCACAAGCTTGGTTGTATGTGATGGTGCATTATCATGAAGTAGACGGACATGCCTAAATCCTGACACGTTCTGATAATATTTCTTGAGCTTTTCTAGTAAAGTATCTTGGTAATACCGACCTTGACATTTTTCCCCTTCGGCACCGGAATTTCTACGGCAATTCATCACAGGAGGACCTTCTTTGTGCTCACGGTCCCTTTGGTAATTACAAGCTTTGTTTCGTCTTTGGTTAGCCAATTTTGTTCCCAATTCTTCTGGGTGGTTCAAAGTAGTGAACCCGTGTTCGTAACAAGTAACAATATTTGCAAATTGTCAAATTGATTGAAGTTTTTAAACATTTGAGCAAATGCCTAGCGGTTTATAATCGTACCTTCTCTTGGTCATCGGTTAATGTATGGGGTATCAATCTGTCAGAAATGTCTGTTATTACTTTTAATTATTTCCCTGACTTTTGAGACATTTGTTTCGCCTGGACGTCCAGATTCTTCTGCATCTTTGACGATCTCTGTGCCTATCAGAAATTTCTGTATACACCTATGATTAGAACTGTCTCATAAGATTCAGTAAATCAAAGCACAGAAGGCGCTGAATTTGTTTGGGTCTCAGAATGTCATAAAGGTGAAGGTTGTGAGATTATAAACCAATTTGTAGTTGTATAGTGCCACCTATGCTGTTTCCATTGTTTTAACTGTTGTAAACGCTTAAACAATTTGCCGAATGAATGACCTTTGTGTGAATTTTATATAATTCCTATTTTCGTCGATATTTTCACATTGCTCCTCAACCATTGTACACTGATTATTAATTGCGATAAGTTTAAAACTGTTTATCTTAAGGCTCATGTTTATACTGTTAGAAAGGTGGTGAATTAAGCTCATTTTGCGTATCATCGCCTACTTACAACCAATGATATCGGTACCAACATCACTTTGCGTCATGTATTCATTAAATTTTTTCTGTGATTATTTATTCAAATTCATTATACATTTTAAGTTCATCTGAGCACGTAATGCTCAAGAATGAGCTAATGAGCACTCTGCGTGCGTCAGCGTCAGTGCGTCCTTCAGAAATGGAGTCAAACTTTTAAAACAACATCTCCTTCTATACCGTCTGTATCGGACAATATTGTTTTAATTGAGCAATAAAGTTCCTCGCATGTAATTCTTCAAAAGTGTTGTAATTTCATTCCATGCTTAATTCTGGTTTCCACGACAAACGGAAGAAAAAGTTTTAAAAATTCGAAATATCGAAACAGCTGATCTTAGGTTTTTTTGCATTAAACATTTTCTAGTGGGTGTATACCAAAGAGCTAGAGGTTAGATATTCAACATGAAACATCTTTTAAGGGTTGTCTACCAAGTTTGTTCAAATAAAAGCCATGGGGTCAAACTTGGATTCGCCCCGGGGGTCATTGATTTTCCTTATATGTATATTGTGAGAAACAAAAAATATCTTCCTTTAAAAAAAACAAAAAGCTACAGCTTAGATATTCAACATGAAACATCTTCTACTAGTAGTTGTCTTCCAAGTTTTTTCAAATAAAAGCACTGAAGTTAAAATCGGCCTCGCCCCAGGGGTCATTGATTTTCCTGACATGTAAAAAAAAACAACAAATCTTCTTAAAAGCCGAAAAGGTAGAACTTAGATATTTGGCATGAAGCATCTTGTAGGTGTCTATCAAGTTTTTTTAAATAAAAGTTCTTGGTTCAAAATTGGCCCCTACTCTGGGGGTCATTGATTTTCCTAAATATTGCTATCATATTATATACAGTATATGCAGCACAGAGCTTTCAATTATAGCTAAATTATCTCCCTTGAAAAATTGTCAGATGGACCTCCACAAGAAATTCTATGTATAGTGAAAAACAAAAACAAATATATTCTGGGATTATACTCTAGAGGCTTTATCTAAGTTACATATGTATTTGGTATGAAAATTTGCCAGGTGGAGCTTTACAAAAATCAAAAATCTTTCAAATAATAGCCCTCCGGTCAAAATTAGCCCCGCCCCGAGGAACATAGATTTGCCTTATATGTATATAGTAAAAATATTTCTTCTCTAAATCTACAAGAGCTTAAGCTAAGTTTCCATAGCAGCAAGTAACTTCAAAGTAAAATTTATTTTTTCATATCAACGAATAAATCATACCAAACAGTGACTTCTTAATTATGTAACTGTTGTTTTCCATTAGCAATAGCATTTTTTAAAATAATTTTAACAATATTATTATTACTGCCGCATGCCTGGCAATATCATGATATTGTTGGGACACCAGGGACAGGCTATGGATTTTTCAAAGACAATCGACGCCTTACATTGCATGTTCATGAAAAAGAATAAAAGAGCGATTAGCAGTAACATGAAGAAGAAACAACTAATAAATACGTGTAACTCTTAGTTCTAGGGTAACATGTTTCAGCGCATTTTCTTCTGCAACAGTACTAGTCTATCAGTTCGCAATTTTGATGTATAAGTAAATATCACGGGGTGGTCTCTTTTATTATTTGTCTTTCATACCTTCATATACTAATCTATTTGATCATAAATGAATAAATTACTTATACACAATATATAGGTTTTGTACTATATTTGAGTCAAGTAGACACTTGGAGGTTCAAACTGCAAATAAATTCCAACAAACAAAACTCTGAAGAAGTTGCTGCTGATGTGACGGTAGAAATTTGACGTAAGTGTTTAATACCACTTACCTTACGTTGATAAGTGTCAGTATGTCTTATTTTTATTTATTTATAATTGAAATCTGCCCTTTGGATTGACTTCTTCTGTAGTCATTCGTCGTAAAGAAGTTATTCAATCATTCAAAAAAGGGTCCAATTTCAAGTTTGAATCAAAAACAGTGCAAAATAGTGCATCATAAACTTGCAAAAGTAAATATATATTTGTATTATTTATGCTATACAAGTTTGAGACACTTACATTCGATATTTTTTAACAGCAGAAAAACAATAACTGAGAAAATCCCTTTTATATAAGCTCAACATTTCAACTCTATATAGACAAAGCAGTGAGGAATTTCAATCATAAAATCTGATTTTTTTTTTGTGGAGATGATGAAAAGCTTAAAATAGTTCAGTCGGAAAGCTGATTCTACGCGACCTTCAATGACTGATCATATCTAATAATAATTGAGCTGTACAGAAATGTTGGCCAGTGATACCATCCTAAAAACAGTCACAGTATTGCAGCTATTATAAATGTTTACTGTCACGTTTTTTCGAATTCGCTGTTCACAAAACAATAAATAGATTTTCGGACATTCGCAATGTTCAAGTCTTCTAGTTATTTATAGCTTTCATGTACATCAATACTGCTTTCCGATTCTCTTTCACTATTATTACCCCTCACTTTTATCGTAATGTTAATTTCCCATAGGCCTCTGGGAATTATTCTTACTGTTAATGCAAGTGTACCACGTTACTAAGACTTTTGTACTGTTACATAGGTAACAATATTCTTTAACAGTATAAAATCTGGTCACGTGGTCTATTTTCTAAATAAAATGAAAAAAAATGGCCGCCATTTTTCTCTCGATTCATTCTTATTTAGCCTAGGACATCACCAAAGTAACTATGACTCTCATAAAATTTAGTTCTTTGCACCCCAGAGTTCTTTTCGCGTATAAATCATCTTTTTGTTGAATAGTCAATAAGTAAACATGCGTTTTCAACGGAAGTAATTGTAATGTGAATAATTTTGTGTCAAACTGGAAAATGCAGACGATTAAAGCATGCAACAAAGGATTATTCAACAAATTTAACCATTGAAGCGTTACAGATAGAGTTGGTGGACAGACATCTGTAGGACATCGTTATTTTGTAAATGCACTTTGTCAAAAACCATGCGAAGAATATTCTGGATACAGAAGGATCAGATTTTACAGATCATAACCTTATAAATGAGTAAGTGTTTTGTTTTCTAAATAAAACGCAGCTTGTTGTATGTTTATGACTGGTAGATTTCATCACTTGCTTCTCAAGTAGGCCTACATTACACGTAAAACTTGCAAGGTAAGGACAGTTTAGTTATTGCTACTCTTGGTTTATTTTTGTTACAGCTAGATTAACAAATTCAGATCATCACAGTATTTGTTCGGGGTTATAAAATAATTATTACCCCTCACTTTTTTCGTAATGGTAATTTCCCATAGGCCTCTGGGAGTCATTTTTACTGTTAATGCAAGTGTACCACGTGACTAAGAATTTTGTACTGTTACATAGGTTACAGTATTTTTTAACAGTATAAAATCTGGTCACGTCTATTTTTTCTAAATCAAATTAAATAAAATGGCCGCCATTTTTATCTCGATTCATTCTTATTTTCAACGTCTGGAGTAACTATGACACTCATAAAATTTAGTTGTTTGCACCCTGGTGTGCTTTTCGCGTATAAAATATCTTTTTGTTGAATAGTCAAAAAGTGAATATCCGTTTTCAACGGAAGTAATTGCAATGAAAATGATAATATGTGTCAAACTGGAACATGCAGACGATTTAAGCATGCAACAAAGGATTATTTAACAATTTTAATCAGTGAAACGTTACATATATGGTGGACAGACATAGGATATCATCGTTATTATGTCAAAAACCATGCTAAGAAT